GTTTCTGGACGGTGGTTGTTTTTCATCTATGGGATGGGTTTGGGTTTGAGTCTGGTGAGGGAGAATGATGGTTGTGTCATATGTTGTTTTGGATCCGGTGTTGGTTTTTGTGGCCGGGACTCGTTTGTTGATAAGGGCTAGTTTCCAGATGTCTGGTAGGTGGGAGGCATCATCCCGTTTATTCATGTTTTGGGGGTGTTTCTCTATTTTGATGGCTTCCCTGATTATTCTCTTGTTGAAGTGTTCAGTATTGGAGATTAATTTGGTTCCCTCAAAATTAATTTCATGTCCTGTGGCTTTAAGGTGGTGGAAAAGGGAGGAAGTGTTTTCTTCTTTTCTGGCTGCGTTCTTGTGTTCTGCGATGTGTGCATTTATTCTCCTGTTGGTTTGTCCAATGTATGTGGCTGGGCAATTGTTGCATGGTATTTCATAAACTCCTTGGTTTTCTAGCTGGATCTTGTCTTTGGGGTTTCTTAGGATGTTGGCTATTTTTTGGTCAGTGCAGAAGGCTGTCCTGATATTGTGTTTGTGGAAAATTTTGCTGATTTTATCTGTGGTGCCTTTGATGTAGGGGAGGAGGGCAATACCGTTGTCCTGTCCTGTGTCTCGGTTTCTGGGGGGTGTCTCCCTTAGGATTAGGTTGGTAATTGTGCTTCTTTGGAATCCGTTGGAAATTAATACGTTAGTGAGGGTGTGTAATTCTTTTCTCGGGTGGTCTTTGTCGGCTAGGTGTTTGGTTCTGGAGATGAGGGTCTTGGCTACGGACTTGATCTGTGCAGGGTGGTAATGGGATTGTGCGTTTAAGTAGTGGTTGGTGTGTATTTTCTTCCAATGGATGGTGTGTCCTAGGGAGCCATTGGTTTTTTTGTAAATTAAGACGTCCAGGAAGGGAAGTTGGTTGTTGGCTTCTGTTTCCATGGTGAACTGTATTTTGGGGTGTAAGCTGTTGGGGTATGTGAGGAAGTTGTCCAGTTTTTCTTTCCCGTGTGGCCAAATTATGAAAGTATCATCTACATATCAAAGCCAGAGTTTGGGTTTGTGTTCGGATTTGTCTAGAGCATTGGTTTCAAAGTGTTCCATGTATAGGTTAGCGATGACGGGTGAGAGGGGTGATCCCATAGGTGTTCCTTCTATCTGTTTATATCTTTGTCCATTGTAGATGAAGTATGTGTTGGTTAGGCAGTGGTTGGTCAGATCTAGGATGTGCTTAGGGGGGTTGTATTTGTTTTGGATGGCTGTCAAGGCTCTCTCTCATGAAAGATATGCTGTCTCACCTAGCCAAGGGAAAAGTCTTTACTAAATTAGACCTCAGTGAAGCATACTACCGAGTCTGCATCAGGAAGGGAGATGAATGGAAAACAGCGTTCAACTGCCCCCTAGGGAGCTTCCAATTCAAGGTCATGCCTTTCAGACTACAGGGCCCCCCAGTGATGTTCATGCAGTTAATAAACGAGGTGCTACATGAACATCTTTATAAGGAGGTCCTTGTTTACCTGAACGACATCCTCATCTACAGTGAGACAATGGAGGACCGCATACCCCAGTCCGCCAGGTAGTGAAAAAACTTCTGGTGGCAAACCTGTATATCAAGCTGTCAAAATGTGAATTTGACACCAAGCTGTCAAAATGTGAATTTCACCAGACTACCTGGGCTACCAAGTTTTAAATGAGAGCATAGCGATGGACCCAGTCAAAGTATAAGTCGTCCCAGGCTGGCATCCCCCTCACACCCGCTGACAGCCACACAGTTTCCTGGGATTTGCAAACTTTTACATGCAATTCATCCCCTTCTTCATGAAAATTGCCACACCCCTGACAGACCTCCTGAAGGTGGGGACGGGACGAAGCTCCACCTGGGACAACCTCTAACTTGCCAAAAGGCATTTGAAACATTAAAAGAACTCTTTGTAAAGGAACCAGTGCTGAAGCATCCTGATCCCGAACAACCCTTCCTCACCCAAGCAGACAGCGTGGCAGTGGGAGCAGTGCTACTCCAAAAAATGACCAAGGAAAATTACAGCCCTGTGCCTAAACCTCCCATAAACTCAGAGTGGTGATGGGCTGCATGGAAAAAGAGGCTTTTGGGGTAAAATGAGCACTGGTAACATGGTGCCACCTACTGGATGGGGGAAAGAAACCATTTGAAGTCTAGACTAACCACAAAAATCTGGAGGCCCTTAGGACCCCACAGAATCTATCACCCAAATAAGTCTGCTGGGCTCAATACTTCAACCGATTCAACTTCGTGCTGAAACATATTCCAAGAGGGAGGAATTTCCTAGCTGACGCCCTCTCTTGCATGCCCCAGCACAAATGCAAATTGGAGGAGGCAGTTGTCGCCATCATTTCCCCTACCCAAACAGCAGTCCAAGTGATCACTGGCATGAAAAAAGATGTGGACAGTTATGTGAAAAGTTACACCAAATTTACCACTATGAAAAAATGATCAGGAAAATTCCCTGGACTGCTGCAACCGATGGCACAGTCAACGAGGCCATGGGAGGAAATTGCAATGGAGTTGCCAAAGAACGGGGGGAACATGGTGATTTGGATGGTGATTGACTTATTCTCTAAGCAGGCATGCTTCATACCCTGCAGTGGACTACTCTCAGCCCACCAGCTAGCCAAATTGATCCTGAAGCACATCCACCACCTGCATGGAATGCCATGAAGAATCATCTTATGCAGAGGTCCAGTTCACGGCTAAGTTCTGGAGGGAGTTCCTGCAGTCTCTTGGGTTTTCCCAGGGCCTTAGCTCTGCTTTTCATCCAGCTACCAATGGGGGGTGGGGGCCAGAATGTTTGAATGCCATGGTATAGCAGTACCTGAGGTATTAGTGAACTATCAGCAGTCCAATTGGGCGGACCTCTTGCCTTTCGCTGAGGTCACGTACAATAATGCTGTTCACATGGGACTCAGTCCATTCAAAGTAGTGAGCAGCATGGACTTCATCCCAATGCCAGAATACCCAAGGGATTCCCTCCTCCTCAATCAGCTTGACAGACTGGCTGTCAACGCATGGGAAAATGTCAAGAAGGTGCTAGCTAAAGTGGTGCAGACCTATAAGAAACAGGCAGACAAACACTGAGCCCCACAACAAACATTCCAGCTGGGGGGAAAGGTCTACCTCTCCATAAAATACTTGAAGTTAAAACTCCCCGGTAAGAAACTATCCACTATTGACCTCACCCCATTCCTAAGAGGTCTGTAAGGGGCATGTATAAATGCACAATCGTGCCTACAATCCCTGTCCTTTTGTCCCCATTTATTCATACCTATTTCCTGTATTCTTACTCATGTTTATACTTATACCTATTATCTTGTAAGCGATTGATAAATCAAATAAATAAAAATAAGTTCATCATTCCCCATAGTGAAGATTATCAACCCGGTCATCTTGCAATTAAAATTGCCCTAACTTCTAGGGAAGACCTAGTATTCCATAGTAGCCCCTTAAAATCCGTGGTCAGGTCAACCCTGAGATCACTACCCTGTGAGCTCCTGGACCCAGTTGTCATAGGGAGCCAAATGCAATGAACCCTTGACTTGAGGTGACACAGGAGACAGTTCCAACACCTAATCAAGTGAAAGGGCTATCCCTTATCAGAGGCGACTTGGGTAAACATCCAAGCTGACCACCTTCTAGCTAAATTCCACAAAGACAACCCAAACAAGCCTGGGGGGAGGTCACACCCCTAACATCTATACTTGTACTCAAACTATCTTTGCTTTGCAGAGGTTGCCTTCAGGAAGCCGAATGTTAACTAGTGAAGCATCCCTGACCTGCTCTTGAATTGCCATAGACAAGGGGGATGGGGAATCAAATCTCACACCTACATCAAGGAACTTGCATTTCAGTCAAAACAAAGCACATTCCAGCTGGCTACATCAAGGTTATCTCCATGGAAACCCACAGTGGCCGGAGTGACTTCTACAATTTGTGAAATTGCTTCATTGGGAAATGTGACTGATGACACATCTTGGGGGGAGGGGGAAACAGGATCAGAGCCAAAGCGCAAATTAAGTGAGGTCAGAATTGGCTCCACTTAGTCCATGCTGACATGAAGCTCCTAATAAATAACTGGATTTCTTTTGAAGCTTGGCCTGAGGCTCACAATTTAGTCATGGCATCTGTCAGAACATTGACAGTGGACTTGATCAGAATCATTTAATTAGCAAGTGTGTACTGACTTCTATTTAACATCAGTTCAAATGTAATTGGTTAATTCTGAAGACAGCTACATCCCTTCTTATAGGAAGATATACACACGTATGCAAGTAAGCTCATTATTATATGTTTTTTTAATTTTTATTTTTCCCACTAAAAGATTTCAGTTTGTTTTTTAAATTGAATTATACAACTTATATTAAAGGTTGAAAAATTCTGAATTGATTTATTTGGTCAGGTTTTTTTTTTAGATCTCAACAATCTGGCTTTTAACAGGGATTTTTTATACCCACTGTATCTAAAATGATATCATATCTGTACCAACATCACTAAAGGTATCATGAAATTAGAAAGCTTGTGTCAAACCTGGAGCAAACCATTATATCAGAGATGCTGTAAACCATTTCAGATCAACTATTGTTCAGCATGACTACTTTGCTTGTTTCAGATTTTACACAAAACAAAATCCAGACAGATAAGTAGGGCTTGCTAGCACACATTCTCTCTTCATTTTGTGCCTTCCCATATAAATTTCTAGCACAGAATATCCAACTAAACTACCACTGACATTTTTATCTTTCCTTATCTCCCTGTTAATTTCTATCAAAAGTCCAAATACACTTTTTCTTCAGAATCTACTCTCCCTCTCAGTTACTACCAACATCCCATGTGGCATATCACACTAGGCCCTCTGCTAACAATTATTTTGGTTCCGTTCTGCCCAAAGCAAGTGTCTCACGTATCAAACATGAATGTTTCAATTCAGGCCCACATCACGGAAAGCTAACAGTTCCCATGAAAAACACTTTACACATTGCTAAACCTCACTTACCAGAAAAATCAATTTCTTCTCTTTTCAAATACTTGCCCATTTTTGGTAGCTTGAATGTTTGATTCTTGATTAGTCCTTGAACTAAGAGCTTATGAAAAGGTTCTCTAACGACAGAAAAATGTTGAAGAGGTCAATATACATTTCAAGAATAATTATTTATATAATATTGATGATGGAATATCACAATAAGCATATAGCAAACAGAATTTTGGGTTTTCCAAAGTCAACTATACATCAATATATTTGAAGGATTTTGAACTGGGGAAATTAGAGAAACGTAATATGCTCATTAACTAATGATTAGAAACATAAATGCAAAAGTATAATAAAATTGGGAGCTATTCAACTATGATATACATTACCTACCTTTCCTAATTAGGTGCCGTGCAAGTCTATTGTTCTACAATTTCCATATTTCTTAGCCAACTTGACTAAAGATATTTTGTTACACAGACAGTAGTCTGCCCAATTTTTAGACAGTGAGCATTCCTTGTTGGATAATTCCAACTCTGAATAGCAGGAAAGACTCAAGACTCAAGTCATGAAAACTGTCCCCAAGAACTCTTTTAATCAGATATCCTTAACTCAGATTCTACTCCATTTCTTGCTGTCCAGTGCAAAAAACAGATAAGTCAGGAGATGAATGCTAAATATTGAAGGCATTTCAATGAATTCTTAAGTAGATAAAGATATGCAGTTGGATGATTTTAGTAAAATAATATAATATAAAATAATGCATGAAATAATACAGTACAATTTTCCAAAGTAATTAGTAATAATTGGTGGAATTGATAAATAGCAAAAGGAGAGATTTCTTTTTATACACAGATATTTTGACATTAAAGATCAATCTAAAACTTCCAACCTTTACATGGAAAAGTCAACTTAAGGTAAGATTTTATATATATATATATTTAGATAGCCAGTTTGGTCTAGCAGTTAAGGCATTAGCTTATAAAACAATAAATGATAGATCAAGTGTCAACTTAGCCAAGAAAGCCAGCTGGGTGACTGGCCAGTCAGTTTCTCTCAGTCCAGCATACCTCACAGGATTATTATTGTGGGGAAAATAGGAGCAGGAAGGTGGATACGTTTGCAGCCTTTGAATTATTTGTAAGAATACTAAGGGATGCAAATAAATAAATAAAATAACTCTTCCAGCTGTTAATTTTTCAAGAAATTTTTAACTTTTATGATATAGTGCAGATTCACATATGTTGATTCAAGCTAAGTTTTCAGTTTGTGTTTGCCTGAAGAAATTGTTACTTGTAAAAGGTCAAAATATTTTACTATCTTGCTATAAAAACAAAGTCTTGTTTGTAAAAACGAAGAAGAGAAAATAATGAACAACAGTATAAATAGAGTGCTTTTAAATGTATGAAAATCTGGAACCAGGTGAAACTGAATTATTAGAAACTCTGTTTCCTAGTCCTACTTCCATTTATTGTTTCATTCATTAGCAGTTATTTATTGATAATATTACAATTAGAGTTCCATTTCCTGGTTATAGGAAAAGCCACAAGCTAACTGCTTGGCAATTAATTTAGTGGAAAAAACTGCTTCCAATTTTAGTCATGTTATATACTTTAACACAATTCTGGACTACTATTATTTTTTTAGGTAGTTAATTTTGTATCACTGTTTATCCTTTACTAGCTTTGATATAGCATAGTAAATAACTGGGACCCCTTTTTTGCTTGTTCTCCTGAGTAACAAATGAAATTACTTAACATGGAATTTAAAGAAGGAAAAAAATAAAACAAAAGAAAAACTTATATATAGATGATACATTCTACGTATATGTAGAATGAAGGTACAGATTTTTATTGTTAAAGAGGAATGGAAATCTCCCATGTTAATCCTAGTTCAGAACAGTTAACCAGAATCTTTCCCATCAAGATACAGAAGAGGGAGATGGATACAAAGGCACCTCATTGGGCTCCCTGGATGATTTCCATTATAAAATATGAACTTACCATCTAAAGATATAACATAAAAGAAACAAAATGTGATTGGGCCAAAATAAAGACACTAATACCGTGTTTCCCCCCACACTCCTTTTTCAATGCCTTTCTCCAGATGATCTCTTTAGACAGTAAACCTTTGTAAAGACGAAGAGGAACTAATGAATAAAGAACATGAAGACTTTTTTTAAAAACCAAAAATGTACATTAACTATCCCTAGAGCTCTTCATGCAAAAGAATGGGCAAGAAATCCATTAAGAAACAAATTGTGTAAATGCAGTGAAAGAGAGAGTACTTTTGGCATAGTAGGCAATCTCCACTTTGCTTTTTAACCTCTGATTTCATGCCCTCTTTATTTCCATATAAGTCAATTTTGTTCTCCCCCCCCCCTCACTCACACATACAGAGAGAGACAGAGAAAGAGACAGAGAGAGACAGAGAATTTATATTTTGCATTTGCTGGAAGACAAATGTCAAGTTTCCAGGTGATGAAATCCATTTAAAAAGAAAAGAGCAAAGTCAGTCTTCCAAAACCATTTCTTTTATTTAGGAAAGCATCAAATTGGCAAAGTCATTACACATTACAAATTCAAAGGAATTACACCACATAATATTGGAAATTAGAAACAGCCCCCAAACATCACATTCCTCAATAGAAATGAATCAATGTTGCCTGGTGTCATCAATCTCTACCTCCAGGTTTCAGCCAGGTCAGTTTCTCTTCTCATGGGAAGGAAAAATCACCTAGCCTAAACAAACTTCACTATTTCCACTGCTCCCACCTTAGGAATGTGGCAAGCCTGAAACCCTCTCCCTCGTAACCAGCAAAGAGAAAGAGAGAAAATTAATATATAATAAGGCTAAATAAAATCGCTACGCATATGTCAATTTCGGTCTTGACAGGCTGCCCCCCCTCATTTGAAAAGAAACTCCTGCAACGACACAGAATACACAAAGATTGAAATTAGGTTAAACACAATAATACAAAATGCAATTTAACTTCCTCTGCCACCCGCAGAATTCATTTTGGGCTTGTGTGGATATTTTTCATGGAATTTTTTCACCAGTCTATCAGCATTAACTTTCCAGTTATTTATCCAAGTCGCTTGTGAAATGAGATTGCTTGTGAAGCCTTTCTAATAAATTAAATATTGAAATTTTCCTCTGAAAATCCTAGAGTCCAAGATTTTCTTAACCTCATAATGCTCATGCCCCACAATGAACAAAGGCTTCAGAGCCACACATTCTATTGACCTCAATGAGGAAATAACAAATGGCTTTAACAAGCTATTATGAAAAACCGGATGTACTTTTCCCAATAACCTAGGGAGATTAAGCTTGACAATTACTGGGTTTATTACTTTAATTATCTGAAAAGGGTCTATAAATTTTGGGCTCATTTTCTAGAAGGTAAGTATAACTTCAAATATTTAGTTGACAAATAAACTTTATCCCCCACTTTAAACTATGGTTGCTGTGAACAATGTTTCTCAACTTGCATTTGTGCTATCTTATTCAAAGTCTTTTTTGTGTTTTCCCAGGACTCCTTAATTGCGTCCATCCATTCAGTTGCTTACATGGATGGGGGTGGGTGGGGCAGGGTCCCTTGGCAATTCATGCATGGGAACGAACTCCATCCCAGTATTAATCTGGAAAGGAGTCAGCCCAGTATTGCTATGCACAGCACTGTTATAAGCAACCTCAGCAAAAAGCAGTAAATCAACCCAGTTGGATTGTTGGTAATTTACATAACATCTTAAATATTGACCAATAATTTGATTATTTTTTTCAGACAATCCATTAGTCTGTGGATGGAATCCAGAGCTTAATCCTTGAGAGGACCCAATAGCTTTTATAAATCCCCTCCATAATTTTGCGGTGAATTGAACCCTTCTATCTGAAATTATCCTGCGAGGTACTCCATGCAATCTAAATATATATCATTAACAAACTTTTTGGATAATTTCCTGGCTGATGGTAGTCCTGGACACGCAACAAAATGAGCTTGTTTGGAAAATAAATCCACAACATTCCAAAAGACTGTGTTCCCCCCACTCTCAGGTAAATCTACTATAAAATCCATCCTTATCTCCTCCCAGGGTTGGGATGAGTCTGCTACAGGTTGTAATAATCCTGGAAGTTTTTCTGGTCTGGTTTCATTGTGGCACAAGTGGCACAACTCTTTATATAATCCTCAATGTCTTGCTTCATTTTGGACCACCAAAACTGGTGTCTTCTCATGTGTAGAGTTTTTAAATACCCAAAGTGTCCTGCTTGCTTTGAGTCATGACTTTTCTGAAGTACATGAAGATGTAAAGTTTTGGGGGCATATAGTTTAGAATCCATCCATGCTACACCCTCCTGTATAGTTAATAGATCCTTATTTTCTTGATACCAAGTATCTGTTGTTAATTCATTTTGTAACTTCCTGGACATTTCTAATTTGTCTTTGATTTTTTGGGTTTGTGCTTGTGGCTGCATGATTACTTGAACTGTCTCTTGAGGAGATGGTGGAATAATTGGGTGAAATACTTCTCGCTTACTGTCAAATTGGGGTTTCCTAGATAGTGAGTCGGCTAGTAGATATTCCCCCTATGGTAGGTACTTCAATTGGAAATTGAATCTTTTGAAGTATTGTGCCCATCTATCTTGTTTAGGAGTTTTCTGAGTGTTTTTAGAGCTTCTAAGTTTTTGTGGTCTGACCACACTTTAAAAGGAATGTTGCTGCCCTCTAAAAACTGTTTCCAAGTTAGTAAAGCCCAATGAACTGCATAAGCTTCCTTCTCTCATACAGCCCATCTTCTTTCAGTGTCTATGAGTTTTTTGGACATATATGTGCAGGGTTACAGATCTCCTTTTCCATTTTTATGTAGTAGAACAGCTGCAACTGCTATGTTACTAGCGTCAGCTTGCACTATAAAAGGCAATGCTGGGTCAGGGTGTCTTAGAATGGGTTTCTGTGCGAAATGCCTTTTTAACAATTCAAAAACTTTTTGGCATTCTAGAGTCCATTTAAGGGGTTGTCCAGGTTTTGCCTTGGTTGCACCCCCCCCCCCCAATTTTTAATAGTTCTGTTATTGGTAATACGATCTCTGCAAATGAGGGGATAAATTGCCAGTAGAAGTTTGCAAATCCTAGA